TCTTCCTCCTCCTCCTCCTCCTCCTCCTCCTCCTCCTCCTCCTCCTCATCCTCCACTTCGGTGAAGGCAGGGCGAGAGGGAGAGGGGAGGAACCGAGGGAGGGAGGGGAGAGGAGGGGAGGGGACGGGAGAGGCAGGGAGGAGGCAGGGGATGGAAGGGGAGGGCAGGGGATGGCAGGCGAGGGCAGGGGAGGAGGAACAGAGTTCAGAATGATCGGCACTGGCGCCGGAACTGCTGCCGGGAAGCTGCAGCAAAGGCCACTTAAAGATCACATGGTCCTTCCAGTGCCCCGTGTTCGTGTCGAGCGTCCGCGGGTGACGTCCAGGCCGTGACTACTTTCGAGTGGTTGTGGTCACGAGAACTTTGCTCTGAAGGAGGCAAGTGGCGGGGCAGGGGGGAGGGAGGGAGTAGGTGAAGTAGCAGTTTACAGAACGTAAACTTTCGGAGCCTCGCGCGGAGCTTCCGGATCGGCGCTCGACCCCGCCAGGGGGCCCAGCACCGATTCGAGACACCTGCGCGGAGCTCCTAATGTAATCACACGGCTTGGCTAATGTAATCCCACTTCTGACGAACGAGGCCTCTTGGCGGCATTTCGTGCGCACGGCAGTCTTACAGTTGTAGTGCAACATGATCTGTATAATGCTGATGATCGTTTTTCCAAATGTTTTCACATTTGTGTCCTACGCACCTCCGGGTGTATGATTTCTTGCTTGCTTGCTTGCGCGGAGCTCCGAAAGCTGGTGCTTACGCAGCTGCTCCCGGAGCAGCGCCTCGCTAGAAAGGGTTCGGCCAGAAGCGACGAGCACCGAAGGCTCCCACGAGGGGGACGGGGAGCCCGAGGCCGCCCGCTTCGGCAGCCGTCCGGCAGCCGCTTCGCCCGAGACCTCCTCACGGGATCTGCGGGAATCGTGCTCTCGCTCGCGCCTCAACGCCGGCTACTCGCGTGGTCCGCCAAGGCCGCGATCCCCAGTGCGAACAAGTACAGACTACGGAGCGCGTGGTCCTGCTCTCACCCCTGTCCCCATGTAGCCGGCGTCCTACTCCTCGACCCGGCGCCTCACCTCTGCTGCTGCTGGGGTGCTTTGCTGGAGTGGCTCTTCTTCCAGGACGGGCGGGAAGGGGAGAGACAAGGAGGGAGGAGAGGGAACAAGAGGAGGAGGAGGAGGAGGAGGAGGAGGAGGAGGAGGAGGAGGAGAAGAGGAGGAGGAGGAGGAGGAGGAGGAGGAGGAGGAGGAGGAGGAGGAGGAGGAGGAGGAGGAGGAGGAGGAGGAGGAGGAGGAGAGGAGGAGGAGGAGGAGGAGAGAGGAGGAGAGAGGAGGAGGAGGAGGAGGAGGAGGAGGCGGGAAGGGAAGGGAAGGGCCCCCCCCACAACCACCCACGCTTTCGAACGGCCCGGGGGCACGAAGCTGGAGTCGTCCAGGGCCGACAGGTCCGCCGCAGGCGCCACCCCCCACAGCCCAAGGCAGCACGCGCTCAGGAGCCTTGCACGGCCCCCTCCTCCCCCTCCCCCTCCTCCTCCCTCCTCCTCCTCTCTCCTCCCTCCTCCTCTCCTCCTCCTCCTCCTCCTCCTCCTCCTTCCTCTCCTCCTCACTCATTATGCTCCTCCCCCAACTCTCCTCCTCCTCCTCCTCCTCCTCCTCCTCCTCCATCATCATCATCATCATCATCATCATCATCATCATCATCATCATCATCATCATCATCATCATCATCATCCATCATCATCATCATCATCATCATCATCATCACCATCATCAGCAGCAGCAGCATCATCATCATCATCATCATCATCAGCATCATCATCATCATCATCCTAATCCTCATTATCATCATCATCAACATCATCATCAGCAGCATCGTCGTCATCATCATCAGCATCATCATCAGCATCGTCGTCGTCATCAGCATCATTATCGTCATCATCATCAGCAGCATCAGCATCATCATCATCGGCATCATAATCATCATCAGCAGCAGCATCATCACCACCATCGCCACCATAATCATCATCATCATCATCATCATCATCACCACCATAAGCATCATCATCATCATCATTATCATCATCATCATCATCGTCATCATCATCATCATCAGCATCATGATCATCATCATCATCATCATCATCATCATCATCATCATCAGCAGCAGCAGAAACCTCATCATCAGCAACAGCATCATCATAACCACCACCATCATCATCAACATCATCATCATCAGCAGCAGCCTCCTCATCATCATTATCCTCGTCATCATCATCATCATCATCATCATCACCCTCGACATCATAATCAGCATCATCGTCATCAGCATCCCCATTATCATCATCAGCAGCAGCATCATCAGTATCATCATCGGCATCAGCAGCAGCATCATCAGCATCATTAGCATCACCATCATCATCATCATCATCATCAGCAGCATCATCAGCACCATCATCAGAATGAGCATCATCACCATCAGCATCATCAGCAGCATCATCAACATCCCCATCATGATCACCACCACCAACAACATCATTATCATCATGATTCCCATCACATTAAGCATCGTCACCATCATCATCATAACCACCATCATCATCATCAGCATCATCATCACAACCATGATCGCCAGCATCACCATCATCATCAGCAGCATCAGCATCAGCATCAGCATCCTCGTCAACATCAGCATCACCATCATCAACATCAACATCACTATCATCATCATCATAACCGTCATCATAATCCTCATCATCGTCATCATCATCCTCATCATCAGCATAATCATCAACATCATCATCGTCACCATCATCATCATCAGAATCAGCATCATCATCGTCATCAGCAGCAGCAACAGCATCATAATTGTCATCATCATCGTCGTCATCATCATCATCATCATCATCCTGCTCCTCCACACCCCCGTCCTCTTCTCCCTCTCCTCCTGCTGCTCCTCCTCCTCCTCCTCTTCTTCTTCTTCCTCCTCCTCCTCCTCCTCCTCCTCCTCCTCCTCCTCCTCCTCCTCCTCCTCCTCCTCCCCCTCCGCCTCCTCCTCCTCCTCCGCATCCTCCGCTTCGCACTCCTCCTCCTCCTCCTCTTCTTCCAGCTTCTCCTCCTCCTCCTCCGCCTCCTCCCCCTCCTCCAACTCCTCCTCCTCCTCCTCATCAGCTTCCTCCTCTTCCTCATTATCCATTCCATGTCCTTAAGAACAACTGTTCCATGTCGCACCCCGAGGACAGTTGTTAGAGCGGCCAGGGCGTTTCGACTGAGGCTTCCTCACAATTTATATCACTGAAGCTTGCACATTGACAACCGCTTCACAGATGGAGGGCGGGTCGTTGTTTGAAAATGTGGCTCTCGCCCTAGCCCGGCGCACGTTCGGTTTAGAACTTTGCAAGAGTTTCACGGATTGAGGGCGGGCCGTTCTCAAAATGTGGCCCTCGCCTTAGCGCGGCGCACATTCGTTTCAGAAATTTGCCAGTGTTTCGCGGATTGAGGGCGGGTCGTTTCCAGAATGCGGCTCTCGCCTTAGCGCGGCGCACATTCGGTGTAAAGAGTTGCAAGAGATTCACAGATTGAGGGCGGGTGGCTTTCAAAATGTGGCTCTCGTCGTAGCGCGGCGCACATTCAGTTGCAAGAGTTTTACGGATTGATGGCGGGTCGTTTTCAGAATGTGGCTCTCGCCTTAGCGCGGCGCACATTCGTCATAATGATTTGCAAGAGTTTCACGGATTGAGGGCGGTTCCTTTTCAACATGTGGCTCTCGCCATGGCGCCGCGCACATCTGTTTACAACAGTTGCAAATGTTTCACGGATTCCCATCATCACCGTGCCAGAAATTGTGCTCTGAAAGGGATCAGGATTATGCGAGTGCAACAGTTATATTGGTGCGCTGTGTTGAAGTCCCAGGAATGGCGTTCTGATACGATCCAGATTTGTCAAGACGCAACAATCGGGTTGATCCGTGGCGTTGGAATGCCGAGAACATTGCTTTGGCATGCTTCAGGGTCTTCCAACGGTTGTCTTCCAAGGTTAAGTCCCCTCAACTGGAATGAGCCGTTGTAGGGGCCTATGAAGAGGGAGCTTGGAGAGAAGGTTTATTCCACCATCGTTGATGACTCTTGGGTGTACACTGGTCCTCCTCCTCCTCCTCCTCCTCCTCCTCCTCCTCCTCATCATCATCATCCCCCAATTCCTCCTCATCCTCCATTATAGGCATCATCATCAGCATCGTCACCCGTACCATCACCAGCACCAGCTTCACCAGCAGAAGCACCACCTCTCCAGTTAGAATCCGCGCCGTAGTCGTCATTATCATTATCCGCATCAGCACCAGCATCAGCATCGCATTAGCAAAAGCAGCAGTAGCAGCTTCATCACCAGCACAATCATCATCACCACCAACATCATCAACACCATCATCAACAGCACCATCATAATCATCATCATCAACAACATCATCATCAGCAGCAGCATCAGCATCAGCATCATCATCATCATCATTATCATCATCATCATCATCATCATCATCATCATCGACATCGTCATCATCATCATCATCATCATCATCATCATCATCAGCAGCATCGTCGTCATCATCGTCATCGTCATCCTCATCCTTATCCTCATCATAATCCTCCTCCTCAATCTTCTCATCCACCTCCTCCTCCTCCTCCTCCTCCTCCTCCTCCTCCTCCCGATCATCATCGTCATCATCAGCATCATCGTCGTCATCAGCGTCGGTTGCACTGAGCTTCCTGGTCTCGGAGTCGGTCCGCCACGACCCCCTGTTCCAGCACGCCTTCCAGCCGCTGGACGCGTGGGCGAAGGCTCTGCAATTGGCCGAGCGCCTGGAGGACCGCCGCGCCATCCTGAGCGCCTTCGTGGGCGCGCAGCGCTTGGCCCTGCAAGGGGGCCTGGCCAAGCTCCCCGGGTCGGGCCCCGCGGGCGCCCTGCTGCTTGCGTGCTCGCGGCTCGGCTGGCGCATGGCCTCAGACCAGACGCTGCGCGACGACCTCGGCCGCGAGGTGGATCTCATGGCCAGCAGCCGCCACACCCTGCAGGGCATCGTCGAGGCAGGCTTGCGCAGGCAGCTTTGGCGTGACGCGGCAGACCATCATGAGGAGTTGGAGGCTCTGCGCCGCGGCGGGGCCGTCGCCAGCATTCGTTACGCCTTCCTGTCCAAGAAAGCGACGGCGAGGCTGGCGGCCTGCAGCTCCTCGGCACGCAACGCCTTGGTGGGCTGCCTGTGGCCGGTCGCGCGGAGAACGCGGGCCACCCCTCCGCTCGCCTCCTCGGCCCGCTGCCCGTGGGGGTGTGACGAGGCGGGCACGGTCCGACACCTGGCTTGGCGCTGCCCAGCACTCGACGGGCCTCGAAGGCAGCAGAAGGCAGACGGGACCAGATTCGAGCTGCTGCAAGAGGCGGAGAGGGCGGAGCCCGACACAGGCCAGGAGCACCACATCTGGTCACGCGGGCTGGTGCCCGACCCGCGAGCAGGGGCGCCGTTGCCTTTCGCTTGCACGCTGGTGAGACGGTCGGGCACCCACCCAGGGTCCGCCTTCGAGCGTGAGGTCTTCCTCGACGGTTCCGCCTTCCGCTCCAGGGACAAGGTGCTGGCGCGCGCGGGCTGGGCGGCGGTCACGACGTGGGGGGCTGACGATTCGGAGCGGAGTTCGGCGTGGGCAACGTGGCCTGGCCGCTCCCCCAGGACAGCGGGGCCGGGAAACTGCAGGCGGCAGTGGAGGCCCTGCGAGGCGGCATCGGGTCGCTCATCCTCTACACCGACTCGGCGATGGTGCGCGACGGCTGGGCCTTCGGCAAGCGCTGGTGTCTGGAGTGGGGGCGGCCTTACCGCGAGCTGTGGGTGCGGTTCTGGTAGCTCGTCGAGGACTACGGCGTCACCATGGTGCAGGTCTGCAAGGTGAAGGCGCACGCGACGGAGCAGCACGTCCGCGACGGCCTCATCACGGACAGACAGCGCGTGGGCAACGCCAGGGCAGACAGCCGAGCCAAGGAGGGAGCCGCTCTCCACGGCGTCCCGCAGACGCGGCTCGACATGGTGGACCTCGCGGAGAGCCTTGCCAAAGGCGTTTCCGACTGGCTGGGAGAGGCTATGCAGGAGGGCGACTCGCTGGCTTCGAGGCGCCTGGCCTTGAGGCGATCAGGTGCGCATGGGCGGGTTGCCGACAGCGCCCAATGGCAGCCTGCGGGGTCGGCGGGCCCAACTGCGCATTCCGCGCCTGCGACCGCCATGGCACGGCGCTGCTGCTGGGCGAGACAGTCTGCTGGAGCTGCTGGGTCTGCGCCGCCGCTGGCACCCCAGCGGGAGGCTCGGGCGACGGCGCGGGGGCGACGGGAGCAGCCGTCCTCGCTTTGGCGGCCGCCGCGCTGGCGGCACGCCCTCGCGAAGAGGCTGGGGGCGGCGGCGGGGGTGAGCCCGCCCGCGAGGAGGGGCCGCCGAGGCAGAGGGCGGGCGCTGCTAGCCCAGGAGGAGCGTTGGCCGGAGGGTCCGCCGCAGCGGAGGTGTCAGCCGCCGCCGAGGCGCCTCCGCCGCCCCCCGCCCCGCCAGGGCCAGGACGGCGAGGCCGCGGTCGTGGCGGAGGCCGAGGCCGGGGCCAGGCGCGCGCCGCTGGAGCGGAGGCCCCCGTTGTCGGCCCAGCAGCCGTCGGGCAGCCTGCCTGGCGGCGCTCCACGACTCGCACATCCTGATGCAGGCGGGCCCGACGGTCTTCTGCAACGTGTGCGGCTGCAACGCTGGCTCGGCGCGCGTGATGGGGCTGGCCGAGCCCTGCCTGCGCCGAGCGTCGGAGCGCCAGCTGGAGGGGCTGCGCCATCTCCGACGAGGGCTCCACCCAACTAGGAGCGCGGTGCTGGGGGAGCCCGCCCGCCTGGCGGGCCGTGGGCGGCCGCGGAGCCGCTCCCGAGAGCGGCGCGAGGCCGCGGCGTCCGGCGAGCGGGGCGAGGGCGCTGCTTCGGGCGCGGGGGGTAGGGGTGGGGCCTAAACCCGTGGTGCCTCCTGGGCGGGCAGCGGCCCTTTAGGCTTGCCTAAGGGGTGCCGTTGTCCCCGTTCGGCTCTTGGTTGCCCTGGTGCTCCCAGTTGTCGTGCGGGTCCAGGTTGCATCGCGGGCTTGGGTGCCTCCCCCTGCCCAGAGCGGGGGCTGTGCGACGCACGCCGTCCGCCGAGGGGGGACGATCATCAGCATCATCCTCCTCGTCGTCATCTTCGTCGTAATCGTAATCAACATCACCATCATCATCGTCATCATCATCAGCATCATCAACATCAACATCAACACCAGCACCAGCATCACCATCATCGCCATCATCGCCATCACCATCATCGTGATCATCGGCGGCGGCATCGCCGCATCATCATCCTCAGGAGTCTCCAGACATGCCCAGGAAGCTGCCCCCCTCCCGCCCGCCCTCCCGGCCCTCGGCGGGGCCCCCACGCGGGACGCCAGCGGCGATGCCTCGCCGCCGCGACCGGCCCCGGCGGGGTCCTCGCGCTAGGATAGCATCTGTCAGTGAGGCGCATACGCTTCGGTCGGGCAGGTCCTCCTACAGGCGTACTCTCGACGAAAAAAAAAACAAACAAAACAAAACAAACAAACAAAAACGAAGCATCCCCTGACGATTTTGAACTATGTTTTCCATACTCCTACTGTAGAGGGACAGGCCCGATTTAAGCATACGCAAACAGGGTTCGCGCCCAAGATGCGACTGGCAGCATCGGTGCCGATGTCTGCCTGGCGTCGCACGACGTGCAAGACGTCCTCACAATTCCAAACCCCACGACGGGATGTGCACATCGGACGTCGCTGCAACTCTTGGCCGCGCAGGGACTGTCACGCAGGACGCGCCAGCGAAAATCGAAACTGACAGTGGAGCACCCCAACACCAAGCCAATATCTGGCCCCGGCATGCTGAACACCCGGAGCCTTCCGTTGCGCGCACCGCTGCTATAAACGTCTTGCAAGCTCAGGCAATCGCCTTCTCGCAGCGCATCCTGCTTCTTGCCCTGGGCCGAAGCCCACCACACGTCACAGCCAAAAGCACTGTACGGGGGGTCTGAACCGTCTGAACCTCCTCCTCCTCCTCCTCCTCCCACCCCCTCCTCCTCCCCCTCCTCCTCCTCCTCTCCTCCTCTATCCCCCTCCTCCTCCCCTCCCTCCTCCTTCCTCCTCCTCCTCCTCCTCCTCCTCTCCACCTCCACCTCCTCCTCTCCTCCTCCTCCCTCCTCCCTCCTCCTCCTCCTCCTCCTCTGAGACCGGGCCACCCGCCCGAGCGGCAGAGCCACGAGGCGCTCGTCTAACCGAGGGAGCTCCGGGGACTGCGAGAACAGCGAGGCGTGCGAAGGAGGCGGAGGAGGAAGAAAATGGCGGCGGGAAGAAGGATAGAGGCCGAGCGAAAAGCAGAAGGGGGGAGGAGGAGGAGGAGGAGGAGGAGGAGAGAGGGGGAGGGGGAGGAGGAGGAGGAGGATGAGGAGGAAAAGGAGGAAGGAGGAGAGGATGATGGGGAGGAGGAGGAGGGAGGAGGAGAGGAGGAGGAGGAGGAGGAGGAGGAGGGGGAGGAGGAGGAGGAGAAAGAGGAGGGTGACGACGACGCAGAAGAGGAGGAGGACGGCCACGACGGAGGAGGAGGAGCAGCAGCAGCAGGGGGATTTGGAACTCCCGATGCAGAAAAAATGGATACCATGTCCACAGGCAAATCGACCCCAAAACTGACACCCGGCCGCTGTTTATGACCATTCCGTCCGTAACAACGGACATGCGATGTCACGATTTTCCCTAAACTGTGCTTGCACTTAGGGGTCCTTACTTCTGGAGGGTCGGTCTGGCGGCGATGTAATCGCCGTCGCCGCCCCGTCGCTACCTCGTCGCCGCCGCTCGTCTGGGCCTGGGGACAGGTCTGGCGGATATGTTGTCGCCGTCGCCGCCCCGTCGCCGCCCCGTCGCCGCCTCGTCGTCACCCGTCGTCTTGGCCTGGGGGTCGATCTGGCGGCTACCGTCGCCGTCCCGTTGCCACCTCGTCGCCGCCCGTAGTCTGGGTCTGGGGGCAGGTCAGGCGGCTGTTGTCGCCGTCGCCGCCCCGACGCCACCTCGTCGCCGGGGCGACTGCACCTCATAGACTGCACCACGTCGATTCTCCTTTCTAAAAACAAAATAGACTCTACCCCCCCCGGTGTTATCCGTTCCCCTTTGGGGTATGTAAATCATATATGGTTCTGACCACATGTCCATCATAAATATGAATTTGCACTATCCCAGGGGGGCCGAGATCGGTCCCCCTGAGGTTTTCTTGTTAAAAAAAATACGCGGGGACATCGTTTGTTCTAACATAAGACTTTTTCACGAATCCCTTGCCAAAAATGGGACGAAGTGCACACGCGCGCGTCGTCGCGCGCGCATGCCGAAATCCTTCAAAAACCTTCGGTGTCGGAAGGATTTCGCAATCGAGTTTCCCAAAAAACATACAACAACACAGGGTTTCGCAACACTGATTTGCTAAAAAGCCTTACGCGCGAGCTTTTGCGAAATCTGAAGAAAACCATCGGATTTTCAAGATAATGCTACCAAACGGGCTTCGCGCGCGCGCGAGAATCCTCTGCAAAAAATGGGACGAAGTGCAGACGCGCGCGTCGTCGCGCGCGTATACCGAAATCCTTCAAAACCCATCGGATTCGGAAGGATTTCCAAATCATGTGTCCAAAAAACCTACAAACACACAAAGTTTCGCAACACGGATTTTCAACAAAAGCGTGCGCGCGCGCTCTTGCGTCGTCGTCGTCGTCGTCGTCGTCGCCATCCTCCCTCCTCCCGCGTCGTCGTCGTCGTCGCTTACGTCGTCCTCTATCTTTCCTCGTGTTCGTCATCGTCCTCTTTGGCGTCGTGATCGTTTCCGTCGTCGTTGTCGCCGTGGTCGTCCTTCCTCCTCCTCCCTCGTCGTCGTCGTCGTCGTCGTCCGTCGTCGGCGTCTCGTCGTCGTCCCTCCCATTTCGTCGCCGTCGTCGTCGTCGTCGTCGTCGTGGTCGTCCCTCCTCCCTCGTCGTTGTCGTCGTCGGCGTCGCCGTCCTTCCTCCTTCTTCGTCGTTCGCGTCGTCGCCGTCCTCCCTCGTCGCTGTCGTCGTCGTCGTCGTTGTCGCCGTCGTCGTCCTCCCTCCTCCCTCGTCGTCGTCTTCGTTGGCGACGTCGTCGTCGTCTTCGTCGTCGTCGTCGGCGTCGGCATCGTCGTCTTCGTCGTCGTCGACGTCGGCGTCGTCGTCGGCGACGCCGTCGTCGTCGTCGTCGTCGGCGTCGTTGACGTCGTCGCCGTCGTCGGTATCGTCGTTGTCGTCGTCGTCGGCGTCGTCATCGTCGTCGTCGTTGTCATCGTCGTCGTCGTCGTCGGCGTCGGCGTCGTCGTCGTCGGTGTCGTCGTCGTCGTCGTTGTCGGCGTCGTCGAAGTCGTTGGAGACGTCGTCGGTGTCATCGTAGTCGTTGTCGGCGGCGTCGTCGTCGTTCGTCGCTGTCGTCGTCGGCGTCGCTGTCGTTGCCAAGTGCCATTTGGTACCCACCGTCACTGTCTTAAGAGATTTTGCAAACCAAGTTGCGGGTGGGTGGGTGGGATGTTTGCGCGAACAGTGGGGTGGACAACTCACTGCGAACAGAAATTAACTGCACCACATAGATGGCACCACGTCGATTGCACCGCATAGATTGGACCACATAGGTTGCTCCACATAGATTGCATAGAATAGGGTACACAACCAGCAATGCACAACATAGATTGCAAATTATATATATTCTCATTTCTGAAACTGAATTAGGATTTACCGCCCCCAGGGATGATCTGGCTTGCCACGCGCACTGAAATGTACAAATTATTTCATCTTCGAGTCTGCCGTCACCGTCTCGAACTGAAGTGCCCGCGCGCCAGCGCGGCCTGCGAGACGCGATGGGAGTCCCCAGCGGTCAGCGCCACCGCGGCCGCGTTGGTCGCGCCAGACCAGCTGGCTGCTCTGCGCGCGAGCACTGCGTGCGCTAGCGCGGCCGTAGCGATGCGCCAGCCAGCGCCGAGCAGTCACCGAAATCGCCGCCGCTGGGATTTTGCAACCAAGTGGCAGGTGGGCGGATGGGATGAATGCGCGATCATGAGAGGTGGCCACACGCGGAGCAGGGTAGTTGATTGCACCACACAGGTGGCTCCACATAGATTACACAACATAGATTGCTAGAAACGCGCAGCTTCGGGGTCCACGCTGGCTAACATTGATAATGCGAGGTCCCCAGAAATCCCGACAAGTTCCCCTGGGCCGATTTCTCACCCCGAGTCGTTCTTTTGACCATCTGGGCGCCCAGTATGAGCCCTCAGAGGCCGAAGATCTAGAAAAAACATGTCTGGACCCATTCGCTGCTTGCCTCTCTGCTGAGACCTACGCTGCCCCCCCTTGGGCAGCTCGCACTGGCCTCTCACACTCCAGTGCACCAGCTTTCTCGGGTCGGGCGAAAGGGGGGGATAGCAAAGGGGGGGTTTGAGAATCAGCTCACGTAGCTGATTTTCCCGGCGCCTCCCGGCGTCGGGAGGCGCGCATGTATCGAGGAATGGGCCCCTCGGTGAGGCCGAAACCAGCTGCATGCAGCAAATTTCGTAACCCCCCCTTTCCCAATCCCCCCCTTTCGCCCGACCCGACTTTCGGTGCCTGAAGCCGCTGCGCCTTTCTCGTGGCGGAGATTCTCTACGCCGGGCCCTCCCCCCCGCGTTCCTCCTCCGCGGCCGCCCTCCCCCTCTCCCTGAGCCCCTGGTGCGAGACCCAGTCCCGGCTCCGAAGCCACTTTGGCTCCGTAGCCATTTTGGCTCAAGCCATTCTGGCCGGCGGCGGCTTCGCGAGGGCGGTGCGCGCGCGCGCGCGTGCGATGGAGCTCCTGGGTGGCGTGCTCCAGGCGATCGCGCACTCGCCGCTCTGTGCGGGTGATCGCGAGCGCTGGCCGTGAGGCGGGCGATCGAGGTGGGCCTCCTCGGCACGGCAGCGCTGGCGGTGCCGGAGGAGTGCGATCAGGATTCGGACAGGCTGGAGATGCAGCAGGTGGCGGTCCAGGTGATTCGGGAGGGAAGAAAACACACAGACACAATTAATCGTTCCCTCCCAGGAAAATATGGGAAAATATAGGAAGTGGGGGGGAAAACAGAAACCCAGAAAATCTGGGAAACTATAGGGCATCTTTTTACTTGTGTGTATTTATTTGTGTGTTTGTGGGCCCCTTCAGTGATGGGGTGCAATACGGTTCCCGCGGCCCCGGCGAAGCTCAGGGAGGATAGCCGCACGGACTGGGCCAAGAGGTTCCAGAAGCTCAGCCGGGTCTGGGACCGCGCTGCGCATCCAGACGTCAAGGCGCTGGTCGTGGCGCTACAGCAGGCCTACGCGGACGAGAAGAAGGCCATCGGCACGGCCATCGGCGTCGGCGACGTGAAGCTCCTGGAGAACACTCGGAGCTTCAAGCAGAAGACCCAGAACGACACCGACACAGACTCCAAGCAGATGGAGGAGGAGCAGTCAAAGAAGCACATGCAGGAGGTGCCGGACGACAACATGGACAGGCCCGAGAAGGCGCCGGAGGTGGTCTCGGCCTCGAGGGTCGAGGACGTGATGATCCTGGACAACACACGTCTCCACAAAGGGGACACGACACCAGGAAACCACTCCGTTGCTGAGAAGATGGAGGAGATGACAAAGAAGGTCGAGGACGTGAAGTTCCTGGAGAACATTCGGTACCACCAGGGGGCGACCAAGGACGACTCCGACTTCGAGAAGATGGAAGAGCTGATACCTAAGTCCTTCGACGGTCACGGCATGTGTTCCTCGTACGGCAATGAAAAGTCCAACACCAGAGGGAAGTCCATGGGCATGAACAAGTCCGATGCCTCTAAGAAGTGCCTCGACTTCGAGGGCAAGCAGGAGTTCCACGTGGGCAAGAGCAAGACCTACGACTCCTGCGACGAGCGCGCCTCGTACATCGGCAAGGGCAAGGTCGCCCCCATCGTCAACGCCCTCAGCTTCAGAGGCCGAGGGGATGATGATGATGATGATGATGATGATGATGATGATGATGATGATGATGATGATGATGATGATGATGGTGGTGGTGGTGGTGGTGGTGGTGATGATTATGATGATGGTGATGATGATGACGACGACGACGACGATGACGACGACGACGATGACGACGACGACGAGATGATGATGATGATGATGATGATGATGATGATGCTGCTGATGATGATGATGCTGATGATGCTGATGATGATGATGCTGATGATGCTGATGATGATGCTGATGATGATGATGATGATGATGATGATGATGATGATGATGATGATGATGATGATGATGATGACCTCCCGCCCTCGAGTGAAAAAGACCTCCCGCGGACGCGGAGCTGCGCACCTCCTGCCCTCTAGCGAAAAACAAGACCCCGTCCCCGCGCGGCCCGCCGGCTCCCCGCACGCGTTGGCGACCGAGGCCGGGGGCGTGCGGGAGGGGGGCGCCCAGGGAGCGGGCTCGCGGGTCGTGGCCCGAGGCCCGCCCCTCCGGGGCCCAGAGTGGGGGGGGTCCTCCTCCTCCCTCCTCCTCCTCCTCCTCCTCCTCCTCCTCCTCCTCCTCCTCCTCCTCCTCCCCCTCCTCCTCCTCCTCCTCCTCCTCCTCCCCCTCCCTCCTCGCCCTCCTGGGGGGGGGCTCCTTGAAACGATGGAAGGAGCAGGCCCCTCTTGTCGGCAGGGCCTGTTGGGGCAGCCCTCCCTCGCCAAAGCGGCGAAGGCCGGGGCCCGCGCCGTGGGCTGCCGAGAGGTGGGCCCAGCGCTCGGAGGGCCGCCTCTCTCCGCAGGCCGGACGGCTTCTGCGAGGCCCCGCCGCCTTCTGAGGAGGGCCTTCTCCGTCTCGCTTCGCCTCCCCCCCCCCCCTCCTCCTCCTCCTCCTCCTCCTCTCCTCCTCCTCCTCCTCCTCCTCTACTACTACTACTCCTCCTCACCTCCTCCTCCCCTTTTCCTGCCCCCCCCCTCCCCCTCCTCCTCCTCCTCCTCCTCCTCCTCCTCCTCCTCCTCCTCCTCCTCCTCCTCCCTCCTCCTCCTCCTCCTCCTCCTCCGAATTTGGTTGTCGGTCGGGGATTTTCTGACCCGGGGCAATCCAGATCTGGATCTGTCAGGCCTCGCAGGATCCTGCAGGATCCTGCACCCAAACCTGGGTCAATGCGCCCCTGGGCTCTGCAGGATCCTGCAAGATCCGGCGCTCTGGCTGACCCCCGTTTGCTCTGACCCCGCCTCTTGAGCCCCTGGCAGGCCTCCCGAGGCTGAAGAACCGCCGAGAACCGACGACAACGCCCGAAAACCTCGAACCTCGAACCCCCCCTCGCTCGCCGACGAGTTCTGAGCAGCACATGGCTCGCTGTGTCACCCCGCGAAACCTCGAACTTGAGCAGGGACCGACCGTCCAGGCATTCCATAGTCCTACCACGAAATGTTCTTAGAACCCAAAAATGTTCTAAGAACGAAAACAATGTTCTTAGAACATTAACCCGATGTGTTAAAGCAAGACAGTTCCAGCCAGAAATGTCCCATGAACATTTCGTGGAAACCACAAAAGGTTCTTAGAACATTGCTTGCCAGGGCTATAGGCGAGCCAGGACGCTTCGCCACTGCTTGACGAACCTCGAACCTCGAGCCTCCCATCGCTCGCAACGATGGGCGAGCTCTGTCGGCCGTCTCCCGGCTCGCGCCACGAGCGGCCGCGATCTGCTCCAGAGCCCCCTGGAGACCTCTGGCTTCACCCGGAGCTGCCAGGGCTCACCCGGATCTGCCTCGAGCCGCCTGCATCTCCTTACCTGCCTCGAACCTCGAGCCTCCCCGCGCTCGCACCGATGGGCAAGCTCTCAGTCGGCCGCCTCCTCGGCCCCCATCCCCCGGGGGGCTCCTCCTCCTCCTCCTCCTCCTCCTCCTCCTCCTCCTCCTCCTCCTCCTGCTCCTCCTCCTCCTCCTCCTCCTC